CACTGTTGTATGGGTAACTAAGTAAAAACCCAGTGATTCAGAAAGCTTGCCACACTACACAGTTGTTTAACTGAAATGTTTTTTGGTCTTTTTACAGTTAAACTTGGATAAAATGGAATCTGTTGAATTGTTTTAACTTGTTTTGTCCACATCCTGATGGGTAGCATAGCCTGATGAAGGTTAGGATAAACCTCCAGATACTTTTTTAAATTTTACATATTGTACTCTGAGGAAGAAAATTCACATTTTACAGAATTGCTAAGCTACTGTTTGGGTGCATTGATCTTTATATACTAAATGTGTATTCTTGCTGTCTCCTTTACCCTTGACCAAACCCCCACAACTATCTTTCCTTCCATTTGTCTCTATCATATTTGGTCTGATCACTACCTTTTGTCTTACTTCCCTCTGACTCTGATGTTAATTATGTAACGTCTGGTGACTGCCTGACCAATGGCTACCATTTACATACTGTCTATTGTATTGGTCCATGTATAAAAGTACCTTATTTCATTTGCTCTGGGTCCGCTTACCGACTCAGACCTGCTCTGTGTATGTAAGTTCACCAGGATGCCGGCGTGCTTATCTGAAACTCATCACCACCACAGCAACCCTAACTGGACTTGAATGATTTTTCTTCAACAACTCTAAGCTACAGTGATTTGTCAAGTTCAATGAGCAGCTCTCACTTTATATAACCAGTCAAGGGAAGAAGAGGTTTGAGACTGTTGCAAGTAATTTGATCCGCAAAGCAGACAATGTGTTACATAAAAAGGGAGAATGACACAACAAAATGGCAAAAACCAAAGCCCAGCTTTGAGTCAAAAGTTGGCAGCAACAATAAGCAACAACATGTGTGTTTGCAGAGCACCCAGAACATTTTTGGCCCATATCATTTCATCCACAAACTGTAGGAAATGTTTCAAACGAGCAAGCTGCACCTCCTTTTCTTTATGTGTAAGTATTTAGATTTGATATAAATGCAATGAAAACACTACATACTGTAATATGAAATAAAATGTACTTCTTGCTGTGTCTGTCATTCACACTTTCTTAGTTTCCTACATTTCATCAGTTTTTTTGATATGACGGTCGCTCAGTTGTTTGCTCCATTGTGTCTTCTTGTAATGACAGTGGTTGAGAACTTGGGCACGTCCCCGCCTCAAGTGAACCTCTAATGAAGCAAAGAGCTATTTTTGCCTTTTCCCCTCAATTGCACTAACCGCCTTTAGAGTCATTTGTTGTTTTCTGTTCTCTGTTTCTCCTCTTAATCCCTGGTGTTCAATCCTGTTGGTAGAAAGAAATATGTGCTACATGGACCAGTGGATTCGTCAGTTTGCATCTTTGTCCTCACACGGTACAGTGTGTACTGGAGTCTTTGCTCATTTCATCAATGTTTCATCCATGCTTTATTTCTGTAGAATACATAAACGAAGTGCTGTGAATAAGATCTTGATCTAGATTCCACCCTAAAGTGATATTAAAACTCTTGATATAATAGATCAGCCAGTAGATGCTGGCTCTCACATTCACATACAGATGACACTATTTCACATCAAATGAGTCTGGGAACATGACAAACATCTCACCAGGTGCAATGGGAGACTTCTGTGATGTTTCCACCACACTTGTTTTAGTGAAGGTTACTGTGTTTCTGCAGTGTGAGGCAGGTTGGAAAAGTCGGTGGGTGTCTACAGAGAGAGGTGAGAGATTCACAGTGGAGGTGTGATACTGCAGACTGCAGATACTTCTTTTTCATGTGTTCATCTACAGACAGCCTATTACCATGTCTCCTTTCCTTACCCCGACCTCTATTTGTGCTGTGCTGGTAACTCTGCATTAATCACCAGGTCAGTCCTACATGACCGCCTCTGCCTGCAACCGACCCTTTTGTGAAGTACTCTGAAAATGCAGATATTCCTACAGAGAGTACAGCAGCCATTACATCTGTCTCAAATCTATTGTTCCAGCTCAGGAGGGTGACATATTGTGGTGGTAGAAGGATTACTTCTTCCTGAATGTCAGAGTCATGCTTCTGACTGTTATTTTAAAGTCATGGCGTAATTGAATAAGACTGTGGTTGTCACCGCAACATAAAACTATTGTCATATATTTTTATAATGACATGCTGCCAAGATGAGCCAGTTTCAGTTTTGATTTATGATAGAAACCATTTTAGGTATTTAATTTAAGTCTTTAAATGTTTGTAACTTATTTACACCCATCAACCCTTTAAAGGGATGTCCGCCTTAAATAAAACAACATTTTTTTGAACATTTGGGATGAATACGTCCAGGAATTTATTAGACTGTTGGAATACGAGAATGTTCTGAAGGTGGGAAAACACCATAGGTTGTATACTCTGCCATTATAGCTGGATAATATTATTCTCGGTTATTCTTTCTGAAAATGAACACAATAACCAAAAAGTTGACAGTTACATCTATTGATATAAACTATATGTTCTCACTCAAGTTTTCACATACTGGCAGTTATCTCTTATATCAGTTGTGGAATAAGTCATTTCAGTAGGATATTTTGTTCATCATTAAGAATCTGAGATGTCCTTTTCACAAAATACATGAACACATTCAAAGCAGTAATGTCACTTTTAGCTATAACATGTGTGTATAGTTTAAATTTCGTTTTTACTTGAACTGAAAGCTGACTTCACTCTTCAGGTGCTGAGTAAATATCAAAACAAGAGGCCACTGTAATTCAAAACGCATGGCAACACTTCAGAAACGGATGGCCTAAACAATGGTGCTTTTAAACCCCGAACAAGCTGACATTTTGAAGCTTCACATCCACCGGCGGCTATTTCTCAGCCTAAATTTACCCTGCGTGTTGTACAAAGTTTGTCCTCTGTGAGTTTAAGTGGCAAAGTGCAAATGGAAATTCCAGTGCTCGCTAGAATGGCTCCCCTTTTCCTGTCTACGCCCCAGTGTTTCCTGCCTGCTGCATGACTAGGTGTGTTGACTTTGAGATTGGAGCGTCTGACTTTGGGGTATGTACTGGTCTGACTGTGGGAAAGGGTGTTGGTTTCTTTGGGTCATCCACCAACCAAACACTAATTCTCCACTTTGAGCTTCCTCTGGCTCCTATATAATCTTCCCCTCTTCAAACCGAGGGCATGTCAGGTAGAAGGATCTGTTTAAAATGTAGCCTAATTAAAGGCCTCACAGACAACGTCTCAAGTCCTCTTTTGTCACAAATGCAGTGTATACTTACTCTTTGTGTTTGTGCAGCCCTGTCATAGACAAGTCCATTAGTGCTATTAGCTGCCATGTTAGGTAACTCTGCCCTTTCTAATGAACGTCAGCACACAGAATGCCTTTAGATGTGGACCTCCTCACTTCCTGTGAAGGTAAATATGTGTTTTTTTTCACTGAATCCACAGCATGGATGGAGCCCTGTGTCATTTCTGTGATGTGTCAGTGTGCCTGTAAACCACTCTGGGGACCGCAAGATTACTTCACAAACTGAGCCTCACAGAGGCCTGCTTGACTGCACCTGAACAATACAGTAGTTCATTCACGGACTAATTCCGGCCTTCTCTCACTGTGATAAAAATCAAGTCTTTGTAAGCCTCTGCAAAGACGAGGAGAGGAGAAAAAATGGTATCCAGTTCTCAAAAGTGGTCCATGCATTCATGTAATACCTGTGATTCATCCTTGTGTATCTTCACTGCAATGGAACTGAACAAGTGCATACATTTTACAATAAGGTACAGAAAATACTGGCTAGTTACTAAGAAGTGAGTAAGGAACAAATTAATTACTCTGAATAGTGGACTATTATAGTAAATAATAATGAGTATGTGCCAGTTACGTTCATGGTAAGTGTATTCATTTGTGACTGCATGTAGTATACACAAGCACATAGCAAGCAAACAAGACAAACTGCAAACCCGTTATGTAAAGTAATCACAGCATTTTTCAACCCCATTCAGTAGTTCTAACCTTCTAAAATTCCAATACCATTGTCAAAGTAAACAACTGCCCAGGCAGCAACAAAAACTGAAGCGCAACCCTTAATTGCAACATTCTCTCAGAAAATGAGAATACCGCTTACCAAAGGTGCTGTTCTGCAGATTTTACTCACTACTATTCAAAGGAAGTTCGGTTTGTGGTTTTGAGCCAAATTGGACAATTGCTGTTGAATTTGTAAATAGTGATTAAATCACAAGCTGCCAGAATCGGTTATCTCAAAAGGTTTTTCCAGTAGAAAGATTTTTACTGATTTAAATGATTCATTATGAATCAAGTCAGCAAGGCCATAACATAATAATAATAAGTTACACATTAGTGCTAATCAATAATAAAAAACAGATGGAGATACTAGGTTACCGAAAGATTAGTTAATGATTAGTTCACAAATATTTTTTGTACCAGGTGATTCACAGTTAGTTCCTTAAAAACAAACCAGAGACATTCATATTCACATCCATTATACATCCGTCATATACAATATACTTATACTAGATTCAAACCATGTAACCTGTAAGAATATGATTGGAGATCATTCCTGCTCAACACTGAACCCAACTGGAAAAGAACATAACCCAACACTGAAGTCTTCTTCAATCACCTTTCTTGAACAGTACTGTTTTGAAACAGTTTGGAGAAACTTGTGCCTGAAACTATTTTTAAGGTATCAGCTACACAGAATTTAACATATTGGTGTGAATATTGACAAATATGTGCTCTTAAAAATTATGTTTTTTTTGTGAGAATCCAGCTGTCTGTTTGTAAGGAACTTACATGTAGACATAGCACTGACATGTAAAGTGCATAATCTCATAGCTAAATCTAAGGCTCATCTCAGTTACACTGTTCAGTAACACCGAAGACATTATGTGGTGTGAAATTTTTTTTTAAAAATTACCATTGGCTAGACTTATCTTTGCTCTGAAGAGAAGCAAAGTATCTTATAATAGATCAGGGGAACATAATTTAGTGAATAAACAGACATAATGAAGAGAAACAGAGACAACACAGTGGCATGAAGTGATTAAATAAGTTTATTTGATTTACAGACATGTACATTTTCTATCAACCCCTCCAAGGGAGCATCACAGTTCAGTTCTAGAATAATATCCTTTGATTTCTCTGACACTTTTCTTGTATTGACTTGCTCTAAAAATAAAAATAACCTCTGTTTTCTGCTCAACATCAGAAAAAGGTTTCTTTATACATGATTCTTGTATGACAAGAAATAGCACATTCTCAATACATCACTTCAGTGATTATTAACAAAGAATTACTCAATACAACAGACTTAAACTCCTAAAGGATTGGTGCTAAATCAACTAAATTTGGCAAAGTGAAACTCAATTCATGACCCATCTGACTGGAGCCAACGTCCCTTCTGATGATGACAATATGTCAGCACTTACTGTGAGCATGAAGTGACAGACCCCTGTAACAGAGGCTGTGTGAAGTTGATGCTAGGCTATGGGTCAAATAAATCCCTGAACATTAAGTGTGCAAAATGGTTTGATCAGTTGTCCTTAAAACAAAGAAAAACATTTACAAGAGCTACAAAAATGAATGCAAAAGTATTGCACCCTAGACATGAGACCAAAACGTTTTCTTAAAACCATCACATTGCAGTTCCTTTTGTGTGTAATATGTGTGAGATGTCCAATTCATGATCACAGTAAACAGGATGAATCTTAGTGATGTAGAAAGGTATTGTGTTGTTTCATTGTGATACAAAAGAATGAATAAACAGGCATTTCTAAACCCAATGACATACAACAAAGTGTAGTATACTCAAACATTAAACTTCCCATTATAGATAATTCTTCATTATGGTAACAAACAAATAAATACATTGCATCCAAGCCATCATTTACAATATATTAAAGTTACTGCGTGATTTAGCTATATATATCTCTATTGTAGTTATTTAAAAAAAACTATAATTTGGTAACATTAAAAACAAAAATAAAACCAATAAAAGGAAGGTAAGAAGCTTAGTTCATTAAGAAGATGTAGGTGTGTAAACACGTCAGGTTGGACAGAATCACATTCAGAGAGCTCCACGCAGTTGGAGAGAAGCTAAAGCTAATGATCTGGCAACAAGGACACAGCCCACACAGCACCCCACACACAGCCAGTGAGTCACGCTCACACATCAATGCTACAAGAACCACCTCAACGTCTCCCTTTATTCCTCCGCTCAGGTCAATCCATCCTCCTCCTCCTTCTGTGTTTTCTTGGAGGTCTGCAAAAGTGCTTTTTTTCCTTTTATGCACTAGTGGCTTCAAGGTTTCACAAAAATTGTATCCGCCAGATAATATACTTAAAAAAAAAATCCTTCAAGTTAGCTTCTAATTAAACGTTTGCCTAAATCTTTGTATATAAAAGCAACTTTTGCATTACATTTGCAAATACTGTAATTAATGTAAATAGCGATGAATCAAATCCAGGTTGTGTCTGTTGTGTACTTCTCTTCTTATGTAAATCTCTATGTCATACTCTGGTGCAGATTTTGAAGGGAAATCTGTTTATCAGCTCCTGCAGTGACATCTGAGGATGTGCTGGTCTGGTTTCGAACGGGGATTCCTCGCTTATCTTTTATCAACGATAAGAGCTCGCAATCAGTCTAACCTGGGCCCAAGAATTTCCTGTTCCTGTCTGGGATTTTGATTTCCCTCAGTATTAAACCGATGACTGTGACTCCACCTCTCCTCAAAGGTCCTTTTCTTCTAATCATGAAATGGGATATCTACAATTGCGAGAGGGTCTCTTTTCACAATGCCTGTTATTGTAACCAGTGTGGACTGGACTGGAATCCATCATTAAGAAGTGACTCCGTCTCTGTGTGGGTGTTGTGTCCAGAAATTCAAAACCCACCATCAGAGAGCTTCCCCTCTAAAGAGAAAACGAGCTCACTGATAAGGCAGTGTGGATAAAAAGGTTGGTTTCCTCAAAAATGTTCGTATTGCTTCTTGTGTACACAAAACCGCAGGCGTTACTCCTTAAGAGTCAAAAGAGTAGCATTTCATTTACTTTTGGGAAAAGCATGTACATTATAAATTATAAAATACATAGTCCAGTGTCCACTTTAAATTGTCCGGATTGCATCATCATCCTTCTGAAACAATCATAGGCAGTAACCTCCAGTTTCAAATCAAACATCACACAGAAAAAAAAATAAAAAATCACAAGAAAGCTTGTGAAAAATAATGTGCAGAAATGTCTCACCTCTGTCATGTTCTCTGGCACGGTCTATGCTGAATTAAGTGCTAAAAGCTAAAAATAAAAACACATGTGGGGGGTCAAGAGAAACAGCTGTTGATGTGAAAGCTCCAATTTTTAAGGCGTATTCACTGACCTTTAGACAGTAACACTTTTTGGCTCTTGGTTGATGGCTATGTTTACATGCACAGCAAAACTTTGATCGATCATGAGAATACTGCATCCATCATGTAAACACTGCATTTGCATGTGAAGTTCATGTTGTTAATACTGTGAATAACGTGCAGAATAATCTGATATTAGTCACATTATGGGAGGCTTGTTTGAACAGATAAACACTTTGACAGTTATATTCCTGCAGCACATTTTAACGAGTTGCATCCCTTGCTCCACATAACTTGAATTATCTGTTTACAGGCTCTGAGCGTTGAGGGCCAGGGCAGAATGAATTGTGAAAAAATTGTATAGAAAAAACAGAGACACCAATGGAGCTGCAGTTTAAAAATTACACTGCTTCCTTCTATTGTCTAGCAAATATAAACAGCTTAATCAAACTAATTTCATAGCCAAATGCTGAATTATAGTGTGCATGTAAACACAGTCAGTGATAATGTCATGAGGGTTGTTGGTGGTCAGTGCAAAGTCTGAAGGAATGTAATGACGCTATATATGGCACTTGGTGCAGATTGACAGCCGATGTAAGAGACAGACAGACAGACACGTAAGAGACACACCATTGGACAGACAGGCAGACAGACAGGGCAGGTTCATGGTCAGCATTCAGTAGTATGGCATCGGGAGTCGGAGGGGTCACGGGAGATTTTGCCACCCCATCTCCTCCCTGGAAGGTTCAGTGGATCCTGGCAGACAGAGGTGAGGAGGACACCAGCTGTCGGTCGTCTGGCCTCAGCATGTTGCTGTGCGCCTTCTTACCGGCCTGTGATTTAGAGGCGTTTCAACGAGGAGCAAGACGCTCCCTCATTCAAGTTCTGAGCAGCCTCGGAGAACGTGTAAAAAGGAAGAGCAGCAGGAGCCAAGAAGAAGAGGAGGATGATCACAGAAGTGATGACGGTGAAGAGAACATGGGGCGTGGTTTTAAAGAAGTGGATCTGCTGCCCTCGCTTTTTTTATCTCCATTTTGTCATCCTTATTAAGTTTGGTTGCTCCTTCAGATGGCTCCTCATTTGGCTGTCACCTGAAAGAGAGAGAGAGGGAGAGAGAGGGGAGAGGTTAGAGTCTGGCTTCACCACAGGACATTCTCATGTAATTAATGTCGAGGTCGAAAGCTCCTGGGCCATCTGTTAGGACCTTCCTGGTAACGCCTGCACACCACGACCAGCCTGTGACCTAAATATTTTCCTGCATACAGCATACCAACACACAACAGTTTGTTTAATGCAGACCACCGCCCAATCTGTACAACAGCACGCTAAAAACCACAGTAACACACAACCACTGTCTCTCCAGATATGGAGATTGGGGTTTCACATTAGATATTGATGCTATCGTGTTTCTGCCTCAGTGTACATATCAAATTTTTTTTTTTAAGACTGCACACAAGGAAAGCTGATGTAAAATATTATGAATGAGATTTTAAGCAAGCTTTTTTAGAGACTTCATAAATTGTGTCATTTGTAGTCATAGTGTGCCAGTGGTAGAGGTATAAGTATTCTTTATGTACGTACTCTTACTCAAGTATAAGTACAGATGTATTATCAGCTAAATTTACTTTTAAGTGTAAGTACTCATTATACAGTTGACTGTCTTCTGTAAGTGTTATATAATAATTATTATTATATGTTAGATTATAAGATTCTCAGTAGTGATGCAAAAAACTGAGCATTATGTGTTTTTGATGTAAAATAATAAATACAGAGCATCCTTGGGTGTAAAAAGTACAATACTTTTCACTGAATTATAGTGGAGAAGAAGTATATAACTAAGAAAAAATACTTTTATATATTGTTATTTGTTCATGACTCAAATATTTTCCAACTGCTCAAATACACATAAACAAAACTTATATATGAGGAAAATGTGTCACCAGAGGGGAAAACTACACTGCCACAATAGGATTAGTGCAGGGAGCTGATGTCTTACACTCTCTAACACACACACACACACACACACACACACACACACACACACACACTCATAGACCCTCAAACAAATCCATACATTTACATATATATACACACTTATGCATATATGCACAAGACACACTGATGAGTTCTGGAAAAACAACAACCATTCATCACACAAAAAAGGGTAATAACTTAAACACGAGGATTACAGGATTCTCCAAAACAATGAGTTTTGGTTCTGTAGCTACAGATCCAATCCCTTCTGGGATGAACCATTTTCCTCAGTTATTAGTGTCAGTTGTTGCTGTAAACTCTGTGAATTGTTTATGAGCCAAACTATGAATTAAAATGCTCAAATGCCAGCGTGACATAGAGATAATTAGAGTTGTGAATGCTTTGATATGTGCAAGAATTGCCTGCCTCCTCACAGCTTCACTATAACTGTGCTGGAGACTGTTGGCTTCTCAAGCAAAGGGGAGGTCTGATTGGTCTGGCAAGTAAATAAACTCTAATCAAACCAACTTGTAGTGGTTTTTGGCTGAGGGGATGCACATCATGACTGAACACGAGTGGGCTGACATTGCTATAGATCTGACTGGCCTTTAATTCAAGGGTGGGTGGAGAAAGCAGTGAATTGTCCAATACACAAGACTAAAGACACCTCCCCTGCAAAGATTTCACAGCCTTTTTGTAAGCGATACAGGTCAGATCAGAGCCTAGCTGTACATTGTGTGTGTGTCTATATATGTGTGTGTGGTCTGTGGTCACTTCCTTACCCGACACCATGGACCCACTCAGCACTGCTGACTGAGGATTCAGAGCTTTTGTTGAGTGATAAGAGTGCGAAGTAGGAAAGTATGTGCCTCCAGCCTGCAGCTGTATAAACACTTTTAACATTTTAAGTTTGGAAAGCAGCAACTACATCAGAGTTTTGCCTCGAGATGAGAATTTCCTCCCTGAGTAATATGGGATTGTGGTAACAGAATAAATGGGTGTGAAGCTCCGCTGTCAGAGCTCACGCTGATCTTCTGACAGCCCTGAGCTCGGGGATGTCCTCTGGTTATCATGCAGTGTAGGGTGAATCTGGTCAGCAGAGGCCGGTTCCTCCTGCAGAGGAAGTTAATTGGATCTCAGTGTATCTGATCTCCGTCTGGGATCGCATCACCGGAGATTAATAGCTTGCAATGTATAACAGCTTAGGCGATTACTGCCTCTCTTCATCCTCATTTATTCAGCGGTCGTCTTTTTTCTCCTCCTCTAAATTCCTCTCCTTCACTTCCACTCCTTGTCAGAGCCAAGTAATCTAAATATTCCCCATCTACCACAGCAGTGCACAATGGCACCATATATCTTCTTTCAAACTCCCTACGGTTCAGCATGTTGGGTGACTGGGAACAGAGGTCAGAGTGAGTATAAAGGGTGAACAGAGAGTGGCTGAACTGTGAACTGCATTGATCTGTGAGTCAGACCCAAGGGAGGCAATATTGCTTGTCACTGATTGGATTATCCTTCCAAACAAATGTTAAAAATCAATCACAGAATCACAGAGCGCCTCAGTGGTTCACTTAAAACAGAAATGATCAGTTCACAGGCTTATTCAACTCTGACCTCATGTAGGTGTAATCACTGTTCTCTATAATTAGCCTCTTTTGACAGCAGGAAGAAAATGCTTTAGCTGCTGTGTGACAGAGAACTGATGAAACCCTCAGGCTGAAAGCATAAACTGCCACTGAAACCTGACATGTGCGGCAGCAATGTGGGAGCCTTTCATGTCACCTGTCATTAGTTGGGCATGCTAATGTCACCCTGCCAATGGTAATGACACTGCAGTGCTTACAGTAAAAGACCATACTGGTAGTTTTGTATATTATAGCCCATTAGCTATAATGGGCTATATGCAAACTGTGTGTACCTAATATTTCTGCCGACTAGTTTCCAAAGCATACCATGACTTTTCAGATTGATTTCCTGCCAAATTGCAAATCAAACTTGTGATGGATAATCCATAATTCTATTACGTTAAATTAGGCTAAGTTACATGGGGATGCAACATTCTAAGACACTTGCAGGTAAGTGTTATCTAATAACAATATAAGAAACAACAAAATCAAAGCATCTATGTTTGCTCGTTGTTTGTCCTCTGAGACAGAATTCCCAGCAATGTATCTCCCAAATGATCAACCTTTTCTGAATTATTATTAACATTATATTATATATTATTTTTACACCAATTTCCTGGTTTTCATGAGCTGGAAAACTCAAATTAGAGCACTGATGATCACACCTTTGTTGACATATTTCACTCCTTGCAAACTGAATTGCATTTTTTTAGGAAAGCCACTGCAAAATATAAAAGGAAATGGTAAATGGACCTGTACAGTATACAAGTATTCTGACAAATGTTTAGAAGAAAAATAAACCCAGACAGGGTCACAAAGAAATTATAAAGAAGGGGTGAAACCTTGACCTTTACACTGAACATGATAAGCTTTACAAATACGTCACAACAGATTCCTTGTCCTTCTAATCAGTCAGAGTTTAATCTTGTTATTCTTTACCGGCAACTACAGTAGCTCCCCATTGTCTACACTGCAGAGTTGGCTGGTGGGCTGCCAATTATTGTGTTGTTTCTTTGCTCAGTTAATAATTACAGAGGTTTTACAGCGTGTGTATGAGTCTGATAAAGGCAGGAAGGCAGCTTAGGTCATGATAAGATTGGTCATATAACCACCACTTCAAGAATGCCAGGACAATCCCTGAGCATCATGGGATGGGAAATGAATCATAGATCAATCATTTGTGCATCATCTTGTGTATCACCTCCAGCATTTACACTGTCATAAATCTTTGGATAGCCTCAGGTCAAAGTGTCTTTTAGGTCCTGAAAAATGGTATTGTCAGATCTTTGTGCCTCCGAATGAAAGGAGCTCTTCATGATGCCCGCCAGGTAATGAGAAGAGAGCCCTATAAATGTTAATGTTCCAAGACTGTCTCTTTGTTTTCAACCACTTAAACTGCTCGTAGAACTGCTGATGTAAAAAGCACTTAAGTGTAAAAGCATCTTTAGGAGAAAAGGCAATTTACCTGGTCATACCTTGACTGAGGAGGGTGGTCGCGTCAGCTGGCTCAACCTGAGGAGAGAGGAATAGTTTTAGAAGTTAAGGATGTGCAAAAACTTTCAGACCATATTTAACATTTACTGCTCTCTTTTTCTGAACCATCTCTCTCTTTCCACCAATCCCCCCCCCCCCAATATTCACTCACTAACTGTCTTCCTAGCTGTCTTTCAGTCATCACATATCCTGCTTTTCTAATCCTCCAGACTGCGTGGCTCAGCCTGCCCTCACTGAATCTGCCCACTGTCAATGCACAACTGGCCATGGCAGTTTACGCAGATGAGACGCTTTCTGCCTCTCACACATCACTAAGGTGTTAAATCTTAAACTTGTGTGATGTGTGTGTGGGGGGGTGGGGGTTGGCAGGGGGGCACGCACTGAACCTGAGCTATAAATGGCAACCCTGCAGCCAAAAAAAGCTAACAACCTAGAAATAATAAAGCACTCTTTAAGGCTGGAAATAGAAAGGCGCGCTCCAGTGAGTAACTTGTTCGGTTCCGCGCCTTTTATAAATAGCGCTGAGTATCTGAGGACACACTCAAAGGAGGGAAAAAACAGCAGCAAAGCGCTCTGTAAGAAGGGAATTTATAAATCAAGGGCTTTATAGCGTGAATGGAATCTATAAATATGGCAGTCATGAAACAACCCTGGTTGTACAAAGTTGTCAATGTTGTCCCAGAGGTGCTGTTTGCAGCTTGTTACATAAGAACAGCTGCTGTTTAAGTTTTTCGGCATTGAGATGTTTAGTGTAAATCTGTACACTTCTGTAGTATACTATGTGAGGTATGCAATGGTATGTTTGCTGTATATATATACCTGCATGTAATCTGACAAGCAGGTGTATGATTAACCCATCTATGTAAGCAAAAGTGAAAGTGAACAAGGACATGTTGAACAGTTCTTGGTAGATAAAGATGGAAATGTAAGTAGTAAGTAAAGTAAAGTAGAATAAGGCATTTTATATATCTCAGTGCATGTAATTTCCTGACCAAAAATATCATACATGTGCACTTTAACAGGATACAGGAATGTAGTTCAGGAAAACTTTGTAATAAGGTAGATTAATAACATATGCACAAGTGCAGACTTTATTTTTTATTACCATTTAATAATGACTCAACATTTGAAAGTGACAAACTCTGACTTTATACTCGCATAATGGCTTCATTAAAGACTCAATAGCCAATAGATTTTTCACAACCTGGCAAGACAAATTTTGTTCTTTTTAATGGCTTAACTGATGTATGAAACATTAGTGAATTATTAATTAATGATTATGAAGAGGCTAGTTTTTAACTTACAAACCCTTTGTAAAGGGTGACTTATCAGAAAGTGGTGACAAAACTGTATTAGCTTTGAAAAGTAGTATAAAATAATATTACTATGTTAAGGTTCATGTTTGTGGAAAATCATGCAGGAACAACCTTCCAATGCCTCCAAGTGTCTCTGTTTTACATCTAAGACTTGTTTAACTCCATCTGTTGCTCTATTAGCTTTGCCCTACAGCGTATAGTGTAAAAGTCGAGGGGTTGTGGTTAGATAAAGTTTGAGTGAACATGTGCCATCTGCCCTTACTTTGCAATAATGTGGTCAAATAGCTTAAACCACAGCTATTGGTCTGATGGCAAGAGTGTGACTTTTCTTTTAGTCATTGTTTCGCATTTCTTCCCTTTTTGTTCCTGGACCAGGCCCAAAAGGAAGCCACAGCACGGCTTAGTGGTGCCTTTGCAAAGACCCCTTTAAAACTGTACAATAACATTACACAGAGGAAATAATAACGGCTTGGATGGTTGAGCTTGACCCCAGGAATAAATCCACTGAAATGTGAAGCTGACAGTTTCCACGTTTGTTTTGCAAATTTTAAGTTGTCCTCTCTAGTATTTGATTGCAAATAGGCCTATCCTGGTTAAGTTGTACTAAAATCTCTCACATCTCTCTTTATGAGAGGTTTTGGCGTGGGAACAACCAGCTACCAACTCCACAGGGTGAAGACAAGGCATGTGCAGACAGACGTCAGACATCAGACTGCCATCCTGTCTAAAAATGTCCCTCATCTTCAACAGGAAGGAAGTCATTTCTGAGAGCGCTGGCACCAGGGGAGTAAGTCAATGTGATAAAAAGTCGGAAAAAAATAGTTAAAAAGAAACAAGAAGTCATGTCTCAAAAAGGATGAGTGTGTTTGTTTTAGCCTTTTAAGGCCATGACCAACTACCGTGCCCTGTGGGTTCACGTCTTTGGTGTTTGAAAGAGGAAAATATGAATGCAGGAATAAGAGGGGCGGTAGCTGGTAAAAGTCTAAGTAAGCACACTTTAACAAATTGATGGCTAGAACAGCTTGTGTCAGCTCTGGAGCACTTTTAGCTGACTGGGACTTTCTATTGGCTCGAGAGCCTTTCTGAGTCTTGCAGGGTTGGCACCATTGTTGGCATCGCTGTGCAGTTTGTCCCTGACACATGTCAAACCCCAGCATCAGGGTTAAAGAGTATAGCATTGTTCAGAAAAAGTCCCTAACCCTCTTTGTGTTTATTTGGCGCTGGTGTTATTGCCACTTTTTCAGCGCCTTGCACTGAGGTGGTGTGTTTGGGTTTTTGGAGTCAGCGGAGGACATCTCAAGCAAATATTAAATATTTAAAGAATGAATGACTAAATAATAATTGAAATAATGATGAGTTATTCAAACAATGTCTGAGTCACTTACTGTTTCTCAGCCTTCTCCCTGTCATCCAGGAAAAACAGTGCAGTGGCCAGGAAAAACATGCCCCCCAGGACGATGATAAAGGGACAGAGCATGAGGGCATAGCCTAGACTGAGGAACCGCCACAGCGCTGATGTAGCGTAGCTCTGCTGAAGGGCGTCGGAGATCTGCACCCGGGCGTAGCAACACACCCACATGCCCAACCACCACACATACGCACACAGACAAAGACAAAAGAGAAGAAACATTTTATTCAAACTAATCATCCAGCAAAAGTTCTTAAAATATCCTGTCACGCTGTGACACACTCACACTGAAAGCTTTCTGCATGTTTCATCATAGCAACAGATGAAACAGACACACAGCATGATGTAATACCTCCTGTTTTTGTTTTAAGCAAGGCAGGATTTCACAGCTAATAGCTCATATTGCTGTTGAAGGCTTGAGCAACACTCGTGTTCAGTCTGTCATGTGTGACGCAGAGGAAAACAACAGCTGGAGAACAGTGGGTGTGAAGTGACCATTTCTGCCTCCCAGTGTCACTCAAAAGGCAGCTCTCAAACACAAATACATCACCATACTGACAATCGGGACGAAGAGGAGGCTGCTGATGGTCGCTTTTAGTAGATTGTGTGGATGTATGCGCAGCAGGAAGATAAAGGGGGCTTCTGGTCTTCATGTGAGTGAGAGTCTGAACGGCCATAGGTCACCCTGGCTGAAGCACATTGATTAAATGTTAGCGTCAGCAGAATGAGATTCTCTACAGGGAGAGCTGGAGAACTGCTGACAGGAGGATGTCGGAAGAAGCGTGCAGTATGTGCATTTGCAAGGTGCGTTAGGACACACGTGCATATGAGGAGTGAGGATGGTGAAAGAAAATTAATAAAATACACGTGCGTGACAAAAGCTGATGTATGTCCAGCAGCTGTGTGTGTGGTCAGTGCACAGCTATTTTGTCAGGTATAGTAAATTGCCTGCAACTTGCAGAGTGCAGCTTAGCTAAAAATACATAGCAAACTGCTGCATGTCTAATTATCGAGCTAGAAAGAATTTCTTGGGAGATCTCAGAGAGATTGTTCCCGGCGTTCCCTTGCCACCCACTCTGCCTGTGGCCATGTCCTACTCATACAGTAGAAGGAGAAGTCCATTATGTGTTTCTCTGGGGATCTTAATGTGACATCTGCCTGGTCTACGTGCTGATGGAGGGGGATCTTGGCTCGAGCTCAGGAGCATTTTTTTTTTCATCAAGAAGTGGCGGTTGTGTGGCACCAATATCTGCAGGCGTTCCCACAAAAGGCAACTATGGCACACTGGGAATCCCACATTGGTTTGTAGAGATGAGTACATCATCTGCAGGTCTGTTTTGCACACATGTCAAAACCCAATTGTGCACCAAAAGGACTGACACACTCGCTCACTTTCTCCTGTGGTTGCTTAGCAATAACCAGCAGTCTGTTTTTCTTGAGATTCTCTACTTTGCTCATTCACAGGATTTGTGCCAGTCTGCATGGGTGAGTGTATATCTGCCCGTGCTCTGTGTGTGCGTCACGACGAGTCCATCACACTTGTGTGCTAAACCTCAGTTCAGGAACTGAGGCAGTGAGTGGTGAGTGACGCACTTGGAGCATTCTGGGCCTCACTGGTCGGGGTTTGTGGAGGAGTGAGAAACCCCCGGACATTCAGTATGTCACTCAGAGGAGCTGGGCTGGCAGTGTGTGTATGTGTATGTTCGGCTGCAATATTCTGACATGTGGAGTTTGTTGGAACTTTACCAAAGCAGTTGTTTTGAAAAGCCTAGTTAAAACTAAAGGTATTCATTATCAATTAATCCCAAAAGCCAAACTGGTTGCAAATTAATGTGATCCTGACTGAGTCACACAATACTTCAAAGTACTGTATCTCCAAATGTGTCAGTAGGAGGTTTGTATAATATTGTAATATTGTATAATATAAGATGACACTGGATTTTATTTGATCTGCAGAAACAATACCGCGGCAGTCTTTGAGCTGGATTCTGTTTCCCAGAATTAAGCCAGTTTTGTTTGGTCTTTTGAGGAGCTTGTCAGTACTTGGAGATGACTTACTGCTCCTTTTATCTGGCGTTGACAAGAGTTTAACATTTCCATTTAAGGAACAGAAAAAAAAAACAAAAAAACGAGACACTTTCAATGCAACTCGACAGACAGCTGCGTCTGTTGCCAGCCCGTCAGGCCCCGACAGAGGATCTTGAGGATCAGTTTGATTCACTAATCAAAGACTTCCACTGCCTTTGTTAACATGACCTAGGCTGTGAGCCAGAGGCACGACAATGAAATGTAATGTAAACACATAACACTGGTGCTATTCTTTCCCAGCACCAAAGTACATTCTAAATACAGATGTTAAAAGTTAAACATTAGGATATAAAGTGTAGATTGTGACATGCAGTACAGTTGCAATGTTACTTCACCATGTTTTGTCCTTGTGAAAGAGCCCATTATTCCTTGCTTCCTGTATCAAATGAGGCATACAGAATATGTACGTCCAAGGAGTTACTATTTAACTTCAGAAATGCTCTTTCTCTATTTGGAATGAAAAGAATGCAGCTTGACAGTCTAAGGTGGATCCTGTTTCACACTCCATTGAACAGCGAGTAGTACTTGTATTCTGGCCTCCTGGATGCTATTATTTGGTTGTATGCGTGCAGTTTGGGTGATGGGGGGTTGGGTGAGTGACTGTGACCTTGAGAGGCCCAGTAAGAACCACTCTCTCATCTCCTCACCAATCAAATACAGTAACACTGGACCCTCCTGGGAACCATGAGATTTACGAGAAAACGCCAGTGACAGCCTGGAGAGCAGTGGTGAAATCACAACTCTGTTCACCAGCTCTCCTGAGACGTGTGCTAAAAGCTCCTCTTGTGCCTCACTTTGCACTGGCCCACTTAAAGCAAGAGCTGAACTGGTATCTGAATACACCATGCGTATGAATGGGACACTCACAGATTTGCTGAAGCGATATGTTCCAGCTGGGAATTACAACCTAGGGTAAATCTTAAATATATTGGCCCTCACACCCTGACCACCACACATAACTGCCTTTGGGAGAGTCTTACCAGGCCTATCAGGTATGGACTTCCTGCATCACCCAGGAGATGAGAGGTGAAGCTCTGAAAGGCGACCGCCGTTGCTCTCCGAGTGGGGATAACGACAAACTGTCCAGAGATAGAGACAGAAACAGGGGGTGAAAAATACATGAGATTGTGTAAGGTAATGAAGAGGCAGAGGTAGAAAGATTCACTCAGCCAGCTAAAAACAACTCTTGCAGTCTTCAATTATGTAGGCAGAGCCCACCTCATTGGGTCAGAACACTCCAGGTGGACCTGTCAGTCACTGTAAAAATGTTAGTAATGGCCTTCGTCTGTCTCTACATACTCACCACAGTCTCCATTCTTATTACAAATTAAGGAGCTGGAACACTCACCTTACTGAAAGTCTCATTCAGTTCATTCAACCTCCTCTTTTTTCACGTTTAGATACCAAAACATACATCAGAGAAAGGGCTCACCTCCATTTGTTTCCATGAGCAAAGTATAAATCAGTGTTGACAGTAATGATCAGCCCCACTCACACATTTCACAACTCAAAACTCTGTCTAATTGGATGACTGCTATTCTGTATTGTTTGTTTTATTATTTGTTGCAGGAATTTCCAGTGACCCAATGGATAAGTATAGGTTCTTAGCACTTACCATTAAAATGTCTGCTGTTATGGCCCAGTTCAGGAAAAGTAGCGTCTCTCCTATAAAGATGCAAACCTAAAGAAGAAAACAAATAGTCTAATTAAGCCAATTTCCACTGCACACAAAGACTGGTAACAAGACATGAAGCCAAAAGAGGAGGATGCAGATATTTCTACTGTGTGTGGGAATCCACTGCTGAATGAAAGTGCTTTGGTTGCTGTGGTTTAAAAACATGTTATTATGCTGTGGCCCAATTATATGCGGAGGTGCAGGCCTTCATTTTGGTCCCATTGAGCCGGGTATTTAGCTTACAAGCCGAAAAACAGCACAGGATGATAAGGGTTGTTTATTCTCGTCACAGCCGTATATTCAATGTGGACACATTTTAACACTTCCTAAGTTTAGATCCAGCTGCAAGATTTGAATTTATGTCCTACTTCTGGATGGGTGGAACAGAAAATATAAACCTTAAATAGCACAGTGGAATTAACATACAGCGCACTAAAAGCACATGAAGGCTACTGTATGTACATGGGCTGGTAGCAGCTGGTGTTCCTATTTGGCCACTTTCTTAAAAACAGACCCAGAGGGATTTAGTTGCAGCAGAATCTTGTGTGTCTGTATTGACTGGTTTCGTCTGGCACGGTTTAACACAGCCAGTTTCCTGCTGGGGAATAACCCTTCTGCCAGTGTGCCAGACCTACAGTACAGTACAGAGAGCTACAGAAGGGGTCTGACTGTGGAGATGTAGACAAGTCTGCTCTGAGAACTGCGAACCAGACACCATGACCGACATGTTTCCTCTTAGAAAACAGAAGCCCGCCTTTACTTAGATTAGCTGCCTGTTGACGAGACAACAGCTGCGAGGGGTCACTCGGCCTCGACAGAGCTGCACCGACCGTTACAGCCACGTCACGCCTTGTAATGTGACACATCTGTCATCGCTTCGCCGTGAAACCTGAGTTGATCACTTACAAATCCCGCTGTACTGTACAATGATTTAACCTTGTACAGTAGAGTAGTTTGAGAAGAAGTGAAGTCACACGTTTGAAGTTGAATGGATTAAACTATTCCTGTTTTATGTTTTTGTACAACCAAATACGATAAATCTGGTGTCAGAAAAAGCCCTATAGGTCACACAACATCTAAAATTGAGTTGGACAGATCTGTAATCATGTAATTAATATGGATAGTGCTGCACCTCAGGTCTAATTGGCTGAGTCATGCCTCTGTCAAACACCTGATGAATGTGCGCCTTTGACCTAACGGAAGTTCATATCCATTTTAATTCATTAAATCAAAATCACCACTTATATGAGTAATTATTTGCCATTTAGGACCTACTTTCAGCATCGGTCGGAGAACTTCAGTATATGGAGCGTGGATCATTTAATTAATAAGGTTAATATTTTGGTGTATGCATATTTTTCTTTCTTTTTTGATTGAAATGGTATGTTATTGCAGTTTCATAAAAGCAGTCACTGTCCAGTCCTGTGGTTTAACATACTGCACATGCATTCTTAAAATCACCTCATATACTGTAAAAAAAAACCCTGCCCTGACCCAGCAGTAAATAAAGTCAGAGGCCAAGGTCAGCCACGGTCACATATTTAGGATATGGAAGCTTGTTTTTTTTGTTCCCTTACACGCATGGGGAAATATTTTCCATCTTTTCCAGCCTTCCAGTATCATTACCACCCAACTTGTTGATAGTCAGTTCCTATTCCTTTGCCTCTGATAAGAGTGAGAAATTTGTGCTTGGTGAGTCCAACAGCCCACAGTGCATTGTTTCAGGGCTGTGGTTGTTGAGTTGCACCCTTTCCTGCTTCACAAGGCAGTCAGACACACCAGCTCTCTGCACACATGCCTGAGACTCTTGACTTTTGGCCAGATGAGGTTTGAGCCTTAGCTACCTGGAGCAGCTCCTGAGGCCATCTCAATCTAACCTGCAATTAAAAATATTCATTATGAGGAGCAACACCCACTCACTGCCTCTGGGCATGAAAGGAATTGGCATCAGGCAAGGTGTCCTCTGCTTTATTCCTGATTCAAACATTAACCCCACCTGATGAGCTTTTAGCCTTCTCTTGTTAGATTGCTTACCAGACTTTCACTTTTAATTCTCAGCCCTTAAGACTAATCCACAATAAACATAGTAATACCACTCTTTGTGGGACATTTTTCACTCGGGACCTGTTGATTTTTGGAAACAGGAAAGCAAAAATGGTCCTAATCACAACTCCTTCCACTTTTCGATTAAACTTCCTCTGCTGCAGACACAATACACACAAAAGAGTTACAGGAAATGACTCTTACATAAGCTCCTATGATGCTCTTCTTGGCCACCACGAAGATGAGGCAGATGAAGATGGCCGAGCCCAGCATACTGACGGCGCACACGAGCGGGTCAGCTCGCTCCGTCTTCTGGCGGCAGAAGCGTGTGGTGGCCGCCCCGATGACCACGCCTAAAAGACCCGTCACACAGGTGATCGCCCCGAAGATTAGGCTAGACAGGAGAGCAGAGACCAGAGGAAATAATTGTTATTTCAAATCCAATATATGTCATGCACGTTTTTAGTCCATGCAACCATGCAGATGAAGCTTCATCTAGGATATATTTAAAAAAAGCATGTTTATTATAAAAGGTGCAACATTGAAAAACCAAAATAAATAGAGCTATAGTATATGATGGCATAGGTCCACCTAAACCCAGTTCATCCAGCTTTTTCCATGTGGTGGACAAAGGATGCTGGTGTCTTTCTCTTTTACAAGGTTTCGTTGTTTAATCATGAACCTCTCACCTGTCTGTGCTACTGCAGATCTCTTTCGTACAGGGCTCTGCCGTCTTCTGCACCACCTGGGCTCTGGCCAGGTACAGAGGGATC